ACACGTGGGCTCAGGCAATCCACTCACCTCAGCCTCCCAAAGGCGCGGGATTACAGGCTGAGCCACCGAGCCCGGCTCACTATTTAGATATTTAATGTCCATCATAGGATACTGAGTTTGGAAGGATGGAAGGCAGGGCCTGAAACAATGTGAGTCTCTAAATATTGGCTGCCCATAGTCTCTTGCATTCCTGAGCATGTCTGCCTCTCCTCGCATCTAGAGGTGGTCTTTTCTCCCCTTGAATCTTTTATTATTATTATTATTATTATTATTTATTTTTTTGAGTTGGAGTCTCACTCTGTCGCCCAGACTGAAGTGTAGTGGCCGCTCCCGGCCACCGCAGCCTCGAACTGCTGGGCTCCAGCGATCCTTCCGCCTCAGCCTTCCAAGTAGTTGGAATTACAGGTGCGCCCAGCTGATTTTTTGATTTATTGTAGAGAGGAGGTCTTGCTGCCCAGGTGGGTCTCGAACCCTCGGGCTCAGGCAATCCACTCACCTCAGCCTCCCAAAGGCACAGGATTACAGGCTGAGCCATCGAGCCCGGCTTCCCCTTGAATCTTAACTGGTTTTGTGACTAGCTTTAACTAACAGGATGCACTTAGGTGACATTCTGGGACTTCTGATTCTAGGCCTTAAAGGACTGGCAGCCTCCCATCTTCTGGAGCTCAGTTGACAGACTATCAGGACAGCCAGCCTCCAATCAGGCTCTATGATTAGAGGCCACGTGGAGCAAAGACCTAGGAGGTGGAGAGGCCATCTTTGATGCTCTGGCCTCAGTGGAGCTCCCAATTGAACACAAAGCATGGGAATCAGTTAGCCTAGGAGGAGCTGCTTAATCATCCAGCTGAACTCAGTCGGCCCACAGAATCAGGAAAAAATAACAAACTCCTGTTACAACATTAAGCTTTGGGGTGATTTGTTATGCAGCAAGAAAGAGAGAAGAACTTACAAAGACTTTCAGTGGTATTGGCGGTCTTGTGTTTTATGGTATTGGCGGTCTTGTGTTTTATGAGTTGGCTGGTGAGTTTCCAGATATATGTTGATTACGCTTTATAACTCATGATTTACATATAGTAAGTATTTTGTAGACCATAAATCCTTCACAATATAAAATATGTAAAGAAAGAAATCCCAATGACCAACTCTAACTGATGTGTAAACCAGTATCTCCCTGGATTTGATTTGCATTTTCAATAGAACTGTCATTAAACATCTATTCATGTGTAAGCATCAAACCACTTGTGTTTCTCTTATGATGAGCTGCCTGTTCATCTTCTTTGCCCATTTATCTACTAGTTTGTTCTTTTCTCACCATCTATAAGGACTATGCACATTAAAAAATAGCCCTTTTAATGCCCTATGTTTGAAAAACAGTTCCCTATTTGCCAGTTATAAACCTTTGGCTTTGTGGTATATGAGTGGGGACCCCCCAAAAACCCAGAATTATCTTTTTGGAGTGTGAGTCCCTTGTAGTATACTTGGAATTTGTTCCTCTGGATCAAATGGTCAACCAAGATTTTTGTCTGAAAGTTTTGAGAATGTTGTATTATAATTTGTGGCAAACAGGTGAATGGTTCTTCCACTATGACAACACACCTGCCCACACTGCACTGAGTGTTCAGCAGTTTTTGACCAAAAATAGTATGACCTCTGTGCCTCACCCTCCCTATTACCTCATCTTGCCCTAGGTGACTTTTTTGTTTCCCCGGATGAAAAAAGCAGTCCTCAAAGGAAAACGTTTTGCCGCTATGGAAGAGCTGAAACCAACAAAGGTGGAAGCCCTAAAAGGCATCGAAATTGTAGATTTTGACAAGTTCAGAAACTGTTTTGAGCAGTGGAAAAAGCATCCTGATAGGTGTACTCTGAACAGAGTACTTTGGAGGTGACTGAAATTTAAACATGTAAGAATAAACACACAAATTTTTATAAATAAATTTGGGGATTTTTTTGGTTCCCCCCTCATATTTTGCTGTATATAACTTCTAACTTTCCATAGTCCAACTTATTCTTGTTGAGTGTTATGCCTAGAAAGGCCTGTCCTCCTCCAAGATTATCTTTTAAATCATCTCAAGTACTTTTGTGGTTTCATTTCATAATTAAAACCTTTGATCTATACAGAATTAATTTTGTTACAGGAAGTAGGATCCAGGTTAATCTTTTGTCAAAATGACTAGCCAGTTGTTCCATTAAAAATAGCTCACATGTCCCCAACTAACTGAAAATGCCACTCTAATTATACATTAAATTTTCGTGTAAGTAAATTTCTAGGCCCTTCATAGTGTTGTATTGCCCTCTGCCTTTGTAATATGAAACCCCTCATTATTGTAGTTTATAACACTTAATATCTGGAAGGCTGTTCTTTACCTCTTTGCCCTGGCTTTTCCCCAAAGAACTGATTGTGTCAAGTTAAAAAGTAAATCCGGTTGGTATTGTAATTGTGACTGCATTGTATTTCGATTAGCAAATGTTAAAAAAAAAAAATCTGACATCAATGCAAAATTGCCTTTGCATCCAAGAACAAGTTGAGTCTTTTTGGTCCCTCAGGGAGTACTGAGACTGAACAGTACAAAGGGTGTAGGTACCTACCCATCCTGGTCCCTGGGGCAGGGTATAGGTCCTGCTTCTGGGGTCCACTCAGCCATGACTTTTGGCCAGTTCTCCTGCTGCTTCCAGAATTATCTGAAGAAAGTGACCCTGTGACTAATACGCCAAACCACAGTTCAGGTCCACCAAGAATGGTTACAAATTGCCCAGACATTGTGGAGAATATGACACCGTCCTTGTGCTTAAGGACGTGCAATGATGTCATCTGCCATATAGAATATAACAAGGTGGTTTACAGGCACTAAAAGCAGATGACCTTGGGCAAGTTGGTAAGCTCTCCCAGCCCCTTCCTCCCTCCTCACATGTGAAAATGTGAGCTCTGTCTGGCTCGGAGAGTGGCTGTGAGGACTGAGGGAGGTGATGAGGGGACATCTTCTGCTCCTTGGCTGAACCCTGGAAGTCCACCTCTTTAGGGGCCAGATGCCAAAGTCTGCTGGCTTCTGCCTGCTTGCTACCTCCAAGGTCCATCTCCACCACTCTGTCCAGAGCACCCCCACCCTGTACCCATTTCCCCACCATCAACCATGCTCAAGTCAAAGTCAGAAGTAAAAGATTTTTATTGTTCTACAGACACTTCTGAAAAGAGATCTAACTGAGAAAATATACAAAGCATTTAGGAGGTACATCCCCAGAGAGCACCTGAGTCTGACTGGAGGCATTGCAGTCCTCCTCTTCAAGGCTCAGGGCTGAGAACAGTTAGCATTTCAAATGATCAGTAAAAACATGCAAAAGTGAGAAGGAAAAGGAAAAAACAGTGCATTCCCCCAAGCAGAGGGGGATGGAATTTCAGAAGAGGAGGCAGGGTGTACAAGTACCAGGTGGCTCTCTCCCTTTCCTTCTATTTCATCTCTTAAAGCAGCTGCAAGCTTGGAGAAAGCAATTAACTCCACCTACTCCACAGAACCAACAGCTCATCTCCCATGGACAGGACTGAGAAGTGATCTCCTTCACCTCACTCCTCTGTGGCCCACCCTGCTGCCCTGGCCTTGGCTGCGGGGACCCCGCTTGTGCTCCTCCTGGGGGCCAGGGCTGGGGGCCCTGGCTCTTTGCTTCTTTGGTTCCACTCGGAGAACGATTGTGCTTGAAGGACTCAGCTCCACCCCCCAAACTCCAGACTTCTACTGGTGGGCTGAAGGCACTGACAGGAGTCTGAGGAGACCCCCAGGACAGCCACCTTCCCTTGTGCTCTGGTGGGTCCATCCCTGGGCACATCCCCCACATCCTTAGCCCAAATCCCAGGCCTAGGAAAGGGGACAGCGCAAGAAATGTGCCATTCAAGGAAAAAGCCTTTTGGGACCTTCCCAACTGTGCAGATCTTTCTGAAGCCCATGCCACCCCTCTCCCAGCCCCCTCCCCTCACCCGTGCGGCTCACCCATCCTGTCCTGCCCCTTGGGCTGCCAGTGCAGCTGTGGGCCTGAGCCTCCACAGACCCAACTCCAAGAGAAACCAGCTTGGGGCATCCGCCTTCCCTCCCCCACTCCCAGGAGGTCGGCAGAGGTAGGGGCCTCGAGAGGTCACGGCTCTGGTACAGGGAGGGGCTGGAAAGGAACAGAGAGACACGTCACAACTATAGAAAGGTGTCCAAAGTACAAGCTAAGCAAGAGGAAGGAGAAGGGCCAGAGAGTGGCCAGAAAGAAGAAAAAAGGAAGAGGCAGGGGTGCGGCCTGGGAGGAGGAGGGCTTCACACCACTCCGCAGATGAGTGTCTCCACCACGAAGGTGTTCTCAAAGTGGCGGATAGCATTGCAGTTCTTGGCTCCACGCTTGTTGATCCCTGCGAGGAAACAGAAGAAAACCAGTGAGGTCCTGGCCCAGAACTAGCTGGACCACAAGGACCATCAGCCTCAGCCTGAGCGGGAGGAGGAGGTCCACGAAGTGACCTGGACCTCAGAGACAGATGCACCGTCCCAGGCCCTGTGTAGGCTTCTGCTGTGAGAACAGTCAGGACACAGAGAAGGGTTGGTAAATGAAAACCCGCTTCAAAGGTCTGGGAATCAGTACTGGGAAAAAGGGCTGGGAGCCTGTGTTTCAACTAGCCTCAAAACAAAAGCAGCCCAGCCGGGCTTGGTGGCTCAGCCTGTAATCCTGCGCCTTTGGGAGGCTGAGGTGAGTGGATTGCCTGAGCCTGCGGGTTCGAGACCCGCCTCGGGAACTTGGCGAGACCTCATCTCTACAATAAATCAAAAAATTAGCCGGGCGTGGTAGCGCGCGCCTGTAGTTCCAGCTACTTGGAAGGCTGAGGCGGAAGGATTGCTGGAGACCAGCAGGTCGAGGCCGCGGTGGCCGGGAGTGGCCACTGCACTCCAGTCTGGGGGTCAGAGTGAGACTCCAACTCGAAAAAAAAGAAAGCAGCCCAGTGAAATGGGAAGAGCTTAGGAGCTGAAGAGAGACCGCCCGCATCTGCAATCTCCCTGCCATGTAGCTCCAAGGGTGTTAGTTAACCTCTCTGTGCTTCAGTTTCTTCACCTTCCAAGGGGGCAATAATAATAATCAACATCATCCTCATCATCATCATCATGGTAACTTACACCCTTTTAGAAGGACATACAGCAGTGCCCAGTATAGAGTAAGTGCTCAGTTAATGCTAACTGTTAGTGTTGCAGCTATCTGAGCTCTCTGACAGTTGGACCAGGCACTGCCCAAGGATGGCCATAGTTTGGAGCCTACAGTGGGTAGAGCCTGCCACTCACGCCTCCGTGTAGCCCGGCGTCGCAGCCGATAGGTGTCCTTCCCGTTGCACAGGTGGTAGATGAAGGAGCCAAGGGCCTCCTTGTCACTGACGTGCTCCGTGACCACCATTTCCTCCTGGATGATGTATGTCTGCGGAAGGTAGGTCCCTCTCTGCAAAGGGAGTGGCCACAATGCAGGTCAGCCCCCTAGGGCTCTCCTACCTCTGGCCTAAAATGCCCATCCACACAGGCCTACCTCCCTCATTCAGAGGTCCCTAGTGGGGATGGCCTTTCTGATGTCCCCAGGCACTTCCTGTCTGTGCCCCATGCCTGTGCCTACACTGCCAGGAGCTGGAGTCTGGTCTTCCATCCTAGGGGAAGTGCTCCTCGCCAGCCTGGGGCCTGAATACTTAAGGAAGCTGGTCTTGGGGTTCACCAGGAGTGTGGGAGAAGAAAAGTGGAGGCGATAACTCCGGGGATATAGAATTGGGGTGACGGTAGGGGCAAGACCAGTCTGGGTGCAGGGCCCAGCTTCCAGCCCCATCCCTGGCTTCCCTTCCCATCTAGAAACTTTCTGAGTGTCTTGGCCTAGTCTCCACGGAGGAGGGGGGTAAGAGAGGGACAAGACGCTGCTGAGACACCCCTTTCCCCCACCTTCACGTTCATGAGGAGCTCCCAGAAGTTGCGAGGGGGCAGCACGATGGTGGTGTTGAGCTCGATGACGTAGCACTTGTCCAGGGAGATGTCGTGGTAGGCGGTCAGACCCTGGGCGGGAGGAGGGGCCACATCAGTCTCTGCAGGAGGCAATGGCTGACTCAGGCAGGGCTTCGAGGGGCTTTGGCTGGCAGAGGCAGGAATCCCACCACACTGTCCCTGGGCCCTAGACCTTCAGGAGCGGCACACCCAAATTCCTGAACAGCTGGGTGGGCGCTTCCTTTTCCTGCTCCTCTACTGGCCTGTTTGTAGGGGGTGTCACAGCACAGACAAAAATACTAACTGTTTGTTAAATGCCTCTGTTGTTTTAAAGCTTCTTCCTGTGTTTACAGAGAGGCTTGGGGGACATGGTAGAGTTCTAATTGTGCATTTTATCAAACCTGTGAGGTCCAGCCATCCCTGTGGGCAGCCTGGATCTCAGTGAAAGATGCTCCATCCCAGGCCCTGTGTGGGCTTCTGCTGTGAAAACAGCCAGGACACAGAGAGAAGGATTGGTAAATGAAACCCCCTCCAAAGTTCTGGGAAGCCAGTACTAGGGAAAAGGACTGGGAGCCTGTGTTTCAACTAGCCTCAAAACAACTGCTGGCAACAAAAGTGCGAGGAATGGTTATCTCCGGCAGCAGGGTACAGACTGGGAAGGGCACAAGGGAACCTTCCAGAGTGCCAGTATTGTTCCATTTCGATCTGGTTGGCGTTACATGAATATTTACCTCTGCAGAGATCCACTAAGCTGTATACTCAGCACACTCCATGGTGGCTGTGTTACATCTCAATAAGATATGAACAGAAACAGGGAACACAGGCCTTACCATGACAGCCAGCATCTGGAGCTGGCCATTGGCTGAGGACAATGTCAGCCACAGACAGTTCACACTCAGTGAGAACTGTATCACATACGTGATAAAAGCAATGTCTTGAAAGCCCTCATAAACCTAACCACAGACATCCGCTAGGCAGTTTATATTACACGGCATACTTCGAGGATTCTCCTTTCACTCCTGCTGTCCTTGCCCTGGGTCACCTGGACACTATCCCACCTCCAGTCCCAGTCTTTGGTCGGCCTCACCCGCTGGAAGTCATGGATGATGTCTGCAGGGTCGCCGCCGCCAAACTGGGGCACGGGGACATTGATGCGTTCATAGTTCTCTTCAAGGTAGATTTTCACGTCTTCCTCCAGCTCCATCTGAGTCCGTACTTGGGAGGACAGGGAGTCCTCGTAGAGCACGCCACAGCGGAAGAAGTTATCACGGGCCAGCTAAGTGAGG